TAGCAGAACTGCCTTTCTGATACCAAGATGCTCACACAATATTCCTTGGCAGTGTCCCAAAATGTCATGCAAAGATGAGGACTTTAATCTCTTAATATACTGCCTGTGACTTTTTTTTAGCCAACATAGGCTGGAAAGTACGGAGAGAAAGAGGGGCAGACAAAATAATAATACTTGTGGAAGCAGGAATAAACCCTGCCTGATACTTGTCAGCCCACAGTTCCTGCTTTTTTTTTTTGCCAGCAGTTGCTGACTTTTTTTCATGTTACCCTCTAATATCATTGGGATGGTCCACTCCTGGGCTGCTTTGCATTATATTCATACACTGGAATAGGAATTTACAGCACTTCTTTGCTTTATTCTTTTCGAAGTCCTTTTCCTCATAAGAAGAGTGGAATGGCACTTTTGATGTGATACTGGTGAAAATATGTGGCAGGTATTTGACTAAGCAGTTATGGCACTTGATTGCACATCAGTGTAGTTTGACTTCCTCAAATGTTCCTATTGAAGCAGAGGTAGCATTAACAGTGCTTTTTGTAATTTTGGTTCTTTAATTTACCAGTCTGTGAGCTTTCTTTTTGCCTTGTGTTTCTAAAGGCATAAAAATAACACTTCCAACTTGATTATTCATGTTCAGAGACTTGTCAGCCTGTGGTGTGAGTGAGGGTGCAGTGTTCTTGTGGCTCTGTCAGACAAAGGTATGTACACAGGAGATATTGCAGAAAGCTTGTACAATGAAGGTATTTGCTTTTCAGACACCAAACACGTGGAAAGTAAAGCAGCCTTTGTCTGTGTATGGCAGCAGTCACCTGGCTCATGGACACCCAGGCTGAGCAGGAGCAACAAACCCCTGCTGCTGCCACTGTCCACCAAAATAACACTGAGCATGAAACAGCTGAGAAGTGTGTGGGTATTTTGAACAGGAGAGGGAAGCTAGAAGGGCATTTTCCACAAACCTGTAGGAGGTGAGGCTCTAAGAGTTGTAGTCTTCTGTGTTTGTCTCCATTGTGGATGTTACAGAATTTCTAGAATGCAGTTATGTAAGGTTTTTGGACAGAGTTTGGACTTTATGCTGGGAATTCTGGAGGCCAGCAGTTTCAGGCTTTAAAACTCTAAACTTGTGTGGGTTTTGTCTATTTCTCTGTGGAAACCCTAAGTTCTTTCAAAATATATCTCCGCTCTGTCATTGGTAAGTCAGATGTAATAACCAGCAATGGTTACATTCTTCATGGGGAGTATTTCCTGTCAGAGTGGGTCTGGGCTTGCTGAGGAGCTGACATGTCATGTCCTTCTGCACATGGTGATTCTTCACTTTAACTATAACAGCTTTTCCTTCTGTCTTATGGTGTTCTCCCTCTTCCCCTTCCACCAGGAAGGGAAGGATACTTTAATGGAGGAATGTGTTGTCAGCAGCAAATAACAATATTGCAGCAAGAAAAAGTTGTAGGGCTTATTTACATAGGAGCTATTGAGGAGGAAAAAATAATATGGATTTAAAGCCAAATCACCCTTTGGAGATGACTTGGAGCACATGAGATCATCAGATTTTCAAAAATGAGGTTGCCCTCCAGCTTTTCAGCTGCTTGTCATGGGTTCAGAAGAAATTGCTCGAATCCTGAACTGTAATCATCTCTTTATCAAAAGCTTCTACCAGAGCAAGGTCATTCATTGTTCTTCCTTAACTTCTGTCCTTCCTCAGGGTGCAGTTTTAATGTTTCTGTATTCAAAAGGTCAGAAGTTACTGTCTTACTCATTATTTTGTTCGGCAATGAATGCTTCAGCTGCTACTTGTCTAGAATGACCAGGCAGGTTGGGAATTGCTGATGAGCTGACTAAAAAAGGTTGAAAACTCCTCTTCCTAGAATTGAAGTCTTGCTTTTGTTTTTTCATTTGTGCTTCATAATGGGTAAATTATGAGGTCTAAAAGAGTTTCTTAAATTATTTTTATGCTCATTTCACTATACACAATGAAACTTCAAATTCATTCTCCCCCTTCCTTGCTAGTCTTATTGGAGATTCTATATATTTCTTGGATGTAGTTTATTATGAAAAGAAAAATCCGAAAAGCTGGTCACTTCTATTAATATTATTTTTAAGTTAATTTCAAAATCTGTTAGTGAAACAGCTTTGACTGGCTAACTAAAATCCCTTCTACTTAGCAGGGAATGTGAAAGTTTACAGATTACTAGGGCATTGCCTTTTAATAAATTCCCTTGCATCACAGTCTTCTAATTTAGGCAGACTATAAAATTTTAACCTAGAGAGAATATTAACAAATAGAAGAAACCTCAACTAACGGAACTCTAAGCATCTCATCAGCAATGATTAGGAGCTTGTGCCTTGTCCCCCTGTACTTGGTATTTATCTTGATTAATACAGATCAGTGCAGGGAATTTGGTAGGGAGCTGTTAACATCCATATAGAACCAATTAAAACGTTTTATGAACAGGAACTAAATACTAAATGACATATATTTGACTTCATTTGGGTTATAGAACAAATGTAAAATGAAGGGCTTTGTTTGCCACAGTGCATATAATGTAGTCATTTTATATTTTATACAGTTGTTATATAACATTTCTATTTGATTTGTTACTGTTTTATGTTGTTCACCAGTCTGCACAAGTATGTTGCTGTTAAGTGCAAGCATTTAGAATTCTTAAGGGAGAAATCTTAAGATTCATTAACACAACTCTAACTTAAATGAAAACTTTATTTTGTAATTAAGTGTGGAGTTTCCTTCACCATGTTTTTAAAATCACTTTTAGAAAATGTTTCTGACCTTTAGAATTGTCAATGAATTTTGGGGGGTGTTTTGTGGGCTTTGTTTTGTTTCCACAATGAAATTAATAGGATTTACTGTACCTCTTACCCAGAATACAAGGCAGGTGCCCACTAGAAAGGAGAGTTTTGTGTCAGCAATGACTCAGTGAACTTGAGTATAGAACAATACTCTTTGATAATATCAAAACACATCTCCATCTTCATATGGTTTGCTGATTGTACAGATCAATTGAAAGTGTTTCTATCTTTATGATATCCTTAATTGCTGCACCCAGAAGGATGTCAAAGGCTGATTGTTGGGCTTTTTTATTGGAAAAAAAAAAAGTGTAGTGTTCCTGCATGTGCCTGTAATTGTTTATTTTTTCTATTCAGTTTTCTGTAGCTGGTTTCACCTTGTGCAAAAATGAAGAGTGTTGTGTTTTCCTTCTTGAAACCAAATACCTTGAGGATTTTGTTTCTTGATCTACTTCAATTATATGCTTATTATTTCACAAGACAAAAGCAAGGATTTTATCAGTTAGTCCTGGCACATACTTGTCTGAGTGAGTCAGTGTAGGGGGATGCACCACACATCATGACCTGTAATTCTCATTCTCTAATTTCAAGCTCATTCTTTCATTCTCTAATTTCAAACTGTTCTTGAGAGTATTGTATCCACACATCCCTAGCAACATGGTCACTCAGGTTTTTAATACCTCTTTTCCATGTGATCTTAGTGGTTGCCTTCTTTTCCAGATAAGTTCTTTTGCTTTTCATTGTTGTCAATCTAGAAGTTGTTCTTAAACTCAGATAATAACAGTTAACTGGTTTTTTTTTATGAATTTCTTCTGAGATTTAGTCATTTTAATGGAAAAGTGAAAGATAATTATTTTAAAATATATTTCTCTACCTCCTGCCACTAAAGTAGCAGCTTATCATGTAGAATACAAAGAGGAGCTGATGGGGAAAATTGCTTCCATGTAACAACTCAGGGTTCTGTTTTAGTTTAGTAATAATTCTCATTTAGATCTGGGTGTAACTCCAGCTGCTCAGCTGTTGTACAGAACAGAGCAGTATTATCTGATGTATGCATCAGAATTCAGAGGTCCTCAGGCTGCTTTTTTGTACCTATGGTTCTCCCAGTTTTGCGAATTATTTGTGAAGCAGTGTTCTGAGAGAACGCACTTCTGTGGGTACCTTGTTCCTGAGAACATGGGGAGGAGATGCTGGGAGCAGAGCAAGGACTGCTCAGGAGGTACCTAAGTAGGGTTTGACTAATGGTGAAGTATTAATGAGGGTTTTTTTATGGAGGGTTTGTTTGTTTTGTCAGGAACCACTGTGCTGAGTTTAGTTCCTCAATGAGGGCTTGAGATGAAGCAGTTTTATTTGGAGAGTGTGTGGGGCCTTTTGTCTCTCTGAAGACTTTATGATCCATCTTCTCATGTGGAATTTGTATCACTTCTATGTTCAAACAGGTTTCAAATAATGGGATTTTAAGTGGTAGTTGTAATGTGACCTATGAATGTTCTTCTCAGCAAGCAGCAGCAACCCAGCTATAGACCAGGCTTGAAATGTCTGGGTTTCCAGCAGTTTTATTTATTCTTTCCTAAAGAAAAGTGACTGTTGATCACTATTTAGACCTTGTGTGTGTCTTTAAATATGTAGGTATATTAAAAATGCATGTGTGTGTTCACATGGTTGTCTCTGTCTCTTCTAAGAGTAAAACAGGTCCACAGAAGGTAGAAAACCAGCAAAGAATTAATTTTGTCAAAACTGGGAAGGATTAGATATGAAACCATGAGGAGGAGATCTAGTCCAAATACCAAATCAGAGGAGTGAACAACACAGAAGGAAGGAGAGCATAGGAGAGTAATATATTGCATTGAAGAATAGGGGTTTTCTCCTCCTTAGAACATCTGATAGCTTTTCCTCCATCCATGATCTGTACCTGCTATGAGTGGGAGTTTGGAGCTGTCTGACTGAGGGAAAGGTGTCAGGAGGGAAACTCCTTACCTCTCAAATATCCAACACGTAAAAGATGGAAGAACCACTTCGTTAAAGCTGTAGTTCTTGAGTGTGTGCCATTTGGTAGACAGGGGCTACACACAATATCTCATAGTGGTAGAAGGCAAATACAAGAATAGGAATATTTTTAATACTGATTCCATCTGGCTGTGGAGGAGACATTGCTTGGATTCAAGCTGAGCATCTCTGATGTTTTTTATCTTTCATGCCAGCTCTATGTGGCCACAGAAGCCATCCTCATCGCATTGGTGGGTGCGACTCCTCCCTACCACTGGGATCTCCAAGGGCTCTCAGCTAATCAGAGCCATGGCAACCATTCAGTGAGCGAGCAGGGAGCTTTTGGGGAATGGCTTCTGACTGCCAACGGCAGCGAGGTGCATAGGCACGTGCACTTCGGCAGCAGCTTCACATCCATAGTCTCTGAGGTAAGTCTGAGATGTGTTTTGCAGCCTCACGTGTTAGTAGTAAATCTTTTGGGAGAGGTCTCCTTGTACTGCTTTTTCCTTGCATACTAATGCATGTTTTGATTAGCAAATGAAACGTGCTACCTCCACTTAGAGCCCAAGCTAGCTTTATATTGGTGTGCAGATCTTGACCTGTGTTCTGCTCCAAAACTTCCCACCTTTTCTGTGTGGAGGTTACATATTGCATCCTGCAGCCTGGTTCCACATTTGAGCTGGAATCATGCATTCATTTTACTAATTTGCTCAAATTCCTTTATGGACTCTGAGCTCTTTCTGGCCATCCCCTTGCTGAGCTCCAGTGCATGTAGTGCATCCATCATGCAGTCAGCAGGAACTGGAGGGGAAGTGGTTCATGCAGTCTTTGCAACTGCAGATACAAGAACATGGGCAGTGGGGAGTCACGTGGACAAAGCAGCTCCCTCACATTTGATTCCAAAACAAGCTTTGGCCTCATTGGCATGGCCTCTGTGTTTTTAAGTGGTTTCTTTTATGGTCTAGCCACAGTCCCTACAGGAATGATTCCAGACTCTGCATTGATGTGTGCAACACCTGCCCTTCCTGGGTCTGTCAGTATCTGTTAATGTCAGATTTTTCTTTATAAGAGCTCTGAGTGCATTGGCTACAAGGCCTGAATGTAGAGCTGAACTGTGGAGTCCAGCGTAGTACCACTTGATAGTTTGTGGCTATTGTCCTGAGGTATTAATGCTATCCAAATTATTCCTGTAAAGCGGTTTATTGGTTAGGAGCATATTAATAAAAATGGCCAGCTTTGGAATAGTACCAAGCCATTGTGTACAAAAGGCATTGCTGCTTATTCTTGCAATAAAGAGGATATGAGTACTTATGATACCATTTAAATTATAATTTTAGTGGATGGTGGATTTCTTAAGCATTATTTAAAACTCAGGAAGGCTTTTGAATTTTCTCTGGGGTTCTCTTTTATTTATTTTTTTTTAACTTGCCCAAGAATCTTTTACTCTCTTAAACTTTACAAGTGAGACATGCTTGTAGAGCCTAGCATATGACACAGATCTTCTTACATTTTGGTTGCATAAATAAGAAATGTAGGTAAAGAACAAAGCCTGCTTGAGCATTAAAAAATCCTAAAAAAACTCCCCAGCCAAAAAACCCCAACCCCAAGGCAACTTGTGTAGAGTCTGCTTTCTAATTCTTTAGCATATGTTTCAGTAGAGGACCATTTGAATAAAATCTTTGTACCTCTTTTGTTTCCCTGTATTAAAGTACAATTTTTATTAATTTGTTGGGTGAAAATTTGATATATTTGGAGGTTATGTGCTAAGCACAAATATTTTGAGAGACAACATACATATCTGGAGAATATTTCACCACTAATTCATTATTAATCTAATTTCATGATTGACTGCAAAGAATTTTTTTCCTGCATTTAAAGAGAGTGTGTCAGTGCTTAACCTTGTGGCATCATTGATAACATGACCATTACAAATTTACACTGAAAAATATTCTGATGTGAAAAGCTTGCTTTGTGAATAAGCATATTTGTAGCGCGTTTTTATGTAGAAGAGAAAAGCCTTTTGAGCTCACTAAAGGGCATAGACATTGAGATAAAACTTGAGGAGAAATTTTGCTTTGCAACCAAATTATCCCTTAATCCCTGAATGATTCAGAAAGCATTTAATGTCAACAATTTTCATGTTGGCAGCTTTTAAAATTTTTATACCAAAAGTTAGGACATGATTCTTGTAGCTGTTATAAAACAAACTGACCGTGTTAGTTCAGGATAAAATTAATCTCATATGCAATTATTTTACAAATGTATTTTTCTGGGAATTGTTTTTGAAGTCTGCAGATGCTTCAAAAGCTGATTTATGGTCGTGTGGTTGGTTTCAGTTGAATTTTGTCAGTCTTGGCACTTTATGGATGCATTTCCTACTATTATCAGTAACTACCTTCCTGTTAAAGTAACAGTTCAGAATGAAGTAAATCTAGAAAGTAAGCAAGTTATTTTCTTGGAGTTTATGAATGATGTTTTGTTAGCATCCTAATCTTTGTGAGATTTAATTGCATGGCTCTGTTCTCATGATGAGGTAGTTTATAACTGAGCTTTGAAATAATATAAGCTTTGCTAGAAAGGATATTTAATGAGATTTTGGTAGAGGAAGAGAAGATTATGAGGAGAAGATTAGATAGAGTTATTGCAGGGATAATGACATAATCACCAGCTTACCAGCACAGGAAGAAGAGTTGGTTGTCACTAAAACGAAACATTATCTCAAGGTGAAAGAGGGATAGAAAAAGAAAAGAACAGAAGACGTGGAGTGTTTAGTATGTGAAAGGAAATAACTTTTGAACATTGAGAGCATGGCATATTTTCATTCTGCACTTCTGTGGGGCAAAGGATTTTGTCAGGTTCAGCTTGAGATATTAAGTCTGTAAGAATCCAACATTACAAGATGTGTTTGTGTGGGAATTGAAGAGAACTGGAAATGATGAAGTACGCTGTAAAAAAGATGAGTGTGTGCAGAAAACCTGACTAACCTGTCTAGTGCTACCAAAGTATTGCTCAGGGACAAGGCAATTCATAAAGAGGAGCTTGTGCAGGAATATCTTCAGACATAAACCACAAGTATTTTTTCACAATGTGTGTTCTACACACTGCAGTGACACATGTCAATAGGCAGAGCTGAATCTATTTAGGTTAACAGTTTTACGTAAAAGAAGGCAGAAGACGTGAAAGTGGGAGAAAGCTGCAAAAATTAAGAGTATTGTGAGGATTCTGTTCTTGATTTCAGAACCAAAGACTGCATTTGATTTGGGAGAACTTCAGTTGTTAGTATCCTGTGAGGAGTTTGGGAGACAGCAGTGGGGACCAGTGACTTACTGAATATGATGCTTAGGAGATTTGTGAAGAGTTTTATCTTCTTTAAAATTTGTAACATCCCTTCCAGCTGTTAACTGGTGGTGAACTGTTTGGATTCTGAATAATTGGCCCTTTTGCTGGTTTGTTGTTCCTGTTTTTTTTCCCTCCATCCAGTGGTTTTTAATTGGCAATGCATCTTACAAAGTCAGTGCTGCCAGTTCTTTCTACTTCAGTGGTGTGTTTGTTGGAGCCATCTCCTTTGGCCAGCTGTCGGATCGCTTTGGGAGGAAGAAAGTCTATCTCACAGGTAACCCTTGACAAAATGAATGACATGAAGGTCATTGGCAATGGCCTGAAGATCTGTGGCAGCAGCCCAGTTTCTGCTGAGAGTTTGATATGCAGCTGTAAATCATGTGCTGTGCTTTTGTTTGTTTTGGCATTCCAATATACTTGTGCCATGGAAGTTGAGACAACAAATCAACATCTCACTGTTCAGTCACCATTTGGATTTCTGTGAGGGGTTCTGGGTTTGTGAGTTACACCGTAAAAGGCTTTCACTTGTGCAATATTGTGCTCTTGGGATCTCTGCAAGTTGCAATTAGTATTTTTAGTAGATTTGTAACAGCATTCTTAAACATGTATAACCTGCTAGAAATTTGTTGCACCTTTTATCCCCTGTCTGCATGATTTAATTTTTATATATTTGTGGTCCTCATACTGTTTTGTCATAAGCTTTCTAACTGTCCCTGGAGCAAACAACATTTGAAACAGCATGTTTTGTGTATGTTAAAGTTGTGTGTCAATGCATGAGCATGTAGGATTTAAAGAAATGTTTTATGCTTTTTGTTTTGCTTTGAAGGAACAGCACTTGTTCAAAGCACAAAAAGGTGGGCCTGCTCTGCATACAAACCCACCATGTATTGTCCCCTGGTGATGTTTCTCTTCTCTAGTTTCTATACACTGGTCTCTAAAAATGGGTAGAGATACTTGGTCATATATTTAACCTGTGCCTTCTGTATCAGGTGTAAATATAAAACCATCTTTAACAGGAGACAGACAATGATTCTGAGTGTATAAAATACTGTCTGCTATGAACTGAATTTAAAGGCTCAAACTGCAAACTATGCATTAGAAGACCACTCCTGTGTCCCCTCCTTTTTGATATTGACTCTAGGTATTTAAATTTCTTTCCAAACCTGTGGCGGTGGTGTTGACTGTGATGGCTTAGGACAGACACCAGTGGGCATCAAGTAAAGATACCAGTAAGTGCTTCTGTTTCTTTAGGCACCCTTCTAAAATGAAACTTTTTGCTTTATTTTCCAGGTTTTGCACTTGACATCTTGTTTGCCATTGCAAACGGATTCTCACCCTCATATGAATTCTTTGCCGTTTCCCGATTCTTAGTAGGGGTGATGAATGGTGGGATGTCACTGGTAGCCTTTGTTCTACTGAATGAGTGTGTGGGTACAGCCTACTGGGCATTAGCAGGTAAGCTGTCTTTATTGTCAGAATTCACAGATTTCAATCTCACACACCACTTGAGGCACACAAAGCAGTTGCAAATTTAGCTCCACTTGAGCATATCTGTGATCACAGTCTTTGAACACTGCTTGTTCAGTATGAACCTTGGACAAGCAGGGTAGATGACTTGGGGCCATTCAGACCTCTGCATCGCTCAAGTTGACAAAAGATCCAGCTGAGACCTCTCCCATGAATGTTACCAGCTAAATACTCATCCAAGGTGTTTGTCACAACTGAGCTCTACTAATCAGAATGTTGGACTCTGTTAAACAGAGTCAAGTGCTTGTATGTTAAATATAGATTCTTCCTGGCAGTTCTTAAAAAGAAATCAAAAGTGTTTTTATATCATAGGAGGATGAGAAAACTGTTGCTTATATATTATTAAAAAAAGTTGTACCATGTAGTAATTACCCTTAGGATTTAGAAGATACAGACACCCTTAACTGTCTTGATTTCTAGTGTTGGACCTGTCCTTCAGAAATGTGTGTAACCTGTACTGCTGCTGATGCCTTGTCAAGGCTGACTAGAACAGAGGCTAGATGGAGTTAAAGAATAAAGTAGCTATTTATTAAAAGGCCTCAGTGGATGCACCTTGGGCAGTACAAGAGCCCAGCCAGGGCTACACCCAAGCTGAACCAAAATGGTCGCAAAAATGGACGACTGGTCATGAGGCCTCTCACTTTTATAAGTTCTGATACAGCTGCATCAGAACTTACAGCTTGATAGCTTTAGCTTATGAAGTACCATCTTGTTTTTCTCTCTTCAGTTCATTTTGTTTATGCTCCTGGGCCTGAAATTTGGATCAGTTGTCCTTGGTCCCGAGCTAGAAAAGGAATTGTTTTGTTTAGCTATTCTGTGAAGAGTGCTTACCATCCCTTAATATGAAGTTGAACTGCACACTAAAGCAGTACAGAATCTGAAAATTTTGAAAGCTAAAACTTAAGGCATCACTAGAGCTCCAGGACCTGACTTAGAAAGCCCAAGAAGTGCTGTGCTGAGACTGTTTTAAAATAGGGTGTCTTATAAATCATGGAAGCCACAAATGAATACTACATATTCCTAAAACTACCAGTTTTTCAATATTTTGTAGTATTTATTTTTACACATAGAAAGGTACATACTTACGCTGCATACATACAAATATTTGGAATTAGAAGACTTCATTGTTCACAAGGCTTTGTTGGGTGTGGAATATGTAGAAGAACACTTTTGGGGATTTTATTGATCGTTGCAATTAGATATAATACTTCTGCTCTACATGAAAGAAGGACAGGGTGTTCTTTGGTCAAAGAGCTGTGGTTGTGCCTGAATTGCTGAATGATTTTTTGCTGGTGAAGAGTTAGTTCTTGTCTGATGCCATTTGTTGTGATTTACTAATGTTTCTAACAGAAGTGATAATGTGTTGTTTTTAATTGTATGTTAGGTTCTATTGGTGGCTTGTTCTTTGCTGTTGGAATTGCCCAGTATGCTTTATTAGGGTATTTCATCCGTTCCTGGAGGACTCTGGCTGTTGTGGTTAATCTGGAAGGAACAGTCGTCTTTCTCCTCTCTCTGTAAGTTGTTCAAACTGAGTTTCATAGAGAAAGATGTCCAAAAAACAAAAAACCATCAAACAAACAGAGTACCCAAACTGTTAAGTCAAGTTGCCTTTCTAGGATGGCATGAAATGGTGTAAATAAGGTATTTCTCTCAACTTGTGCACCCCCTCCCCCCACATGGTCTGTGGTTTCTTTGAAAGTAGTGCTGCAATGTCTGAGCCTGTAAGTCTCCAGTGTACTGTGTGTACAGTATTAGTGTAGATGGGAGCAGTCTCCAGGGTGGAAGAGAAGCACATCCTGTTCTTTAGCTGGTGTAGGTATATGACTAAACTGGTGTGCAACAAGGCACTATGAGTACATGGTAAAAGATACAGGAATGGTTTCATATTTATCTGATAACATGATACTTCTCCTGTGTTTACATAGAGGGAACAGTATCAGAATTACTTGCCTGTCCAGTCCTAAAAGTGACATGCAAAAGAAAAAAATGGGCAGCTCCCTTTAATTTTTCAAATATGATCTTTTTGGAGATAGTAGGGGCTTTGTGAATTTCAGCACTGAAAGCTCTGTGATGCAATGTGGTCTTTTCTTACATGCCTTCTGATATCTAAATCTCAGTAAATAAAAGTAAATAAATTACTTTAGCTGCTGTTTAAACTAGAGGTCTTTTCCTTTCCAATGTCTATTTCACTTCAATAACTCCTTGAATAAAGCTTTTGCGCCTCAAAAAATCCACACAACCCTTTCAAAGGAAGCATCAGAACTCAGGAAAGGGTCCTTGAGGCTGTTCATGAGGTGAAAGGCAGAAATGACACTTGGGATATTTCAAAACTTTGTGGTGATAGGCACCCTTGGGGAAAAAAAATTAACTTTCAGATTTGTAGGTAGAACTTTTTGAAGTGAGTTATACCTGTGATTTCAGAGCTGTGCTCAGAGGCCTATCTTTTCTGTAAGAAAATGTTTTTTTTTTAAATTGCAGATTCCCCACTGCCTCCCTGCCACATTGCTTAAAAATTACCCAATGTAGAAAATACTATAAGATTTTTATCCTGAGCAAGAAAATATGTTCCTTTCTAATCACGTTTTTTGGTGAAAACATAGAATCACATTCTTTTAAACTCAGAGGAAAAATAAAATTTTTGGTCTGAGGCAAAAATCTTAGAAAGCTTCTGGCCAAAGGCTAAAGTTTAAATTAGTTCTGGAAACCTGAAAATAATAGAAGATGTGTGTTGTAGACATTGTTGGAGTTGCATACCTGTCAAGTGAGGAACATGACCTTTGCACAGTTTCTGCCTCTTTGTCTGCAGGAGAGAATTTGGCAAAAAGCTGAAAAATAAGAAGTTGAAGTTGGTCTTGTAGAAAATGTAAAATGGAACTAATAGCTCTTACAAAAGCATCCTGTGTTACTTGTAGTAATCTCTGCCTCTTTAATTCTGAATTCTCCAAAGACAGAATCCTAATCATACTGTAACTTGTAATGTTCTTTCTATGTGTGTATATATGTATACACTCCGTGTAATTTCTTGTTATCTAAATTATGTACGGTTTATGTTTCCTTTCAATATGCCTTGTTTCTGTTTCAGTGCATGAATTTTATACCTGAAGGGTTGTTTGAAAACTCTTTATTATACTGAAGTGCATTTCAGCCTTATTCCTTTAGACAAGTCCAGCCTCCCAGAGAAGAAAACCCCTAAAGGTGTCTGTGTGTGTGTGTGTTTCAGCTTCATTCCCGAGTCCCCCCGCTGGCTCTACTCCCAGGGCCGTCTGAACGAGGCAGAAGATGCCCTCTACCTCATTGCAAAGAGGAACCACAAGCAGAAATGCACTTTTTCATTGAAACTCCCAGCAGAGAGGAGCTCCAGAGAGGCTGGCAGCTTTCTGGACCTGTTCCGATACAGGATTCTCCTGGGACGCACCTTGATCATGATGTTCACCTGGTACTGGAAATACTTTGTGGGCCCAGCTGTGCTACTGCAACCTATTTAAGTCTTTGAGAGAGTGTGGTGCTGAGAATTGCCTCATCCTACAGATTGTTAGGGACACTGTACCTAAAAACGATCCTTTGTAGTATTTAAGTATCTATTACAGTATTTCCTTAATAAATTTCTAGCAAAAAGTCATTTTTACAGTCCAGTTCTGAGGTATTTTATCTCTGCATTTCTCTCTTGTGTTTTGAGTCTCAAAATAGTTGAATACTATCCCTTTTGTTCTGACCCATAAGGCTGCTGAGATTAGTCTCAGTGTCCTCCTCTTAGGCCCAGAGCTGTCAGTATCTCTTCACATGGATTATTCCTTGTTTTGTGTGTAAGGAGCCCATTAGCAGGTGGGTAGCCTACCTTGTCTAATGAGTAGACATTGTAGGCAACAGTTCTTAAGAGAAAGTGCTGGCTGTTGCTGCAGTGAGGGGCAGGAGCCCATGATGCTCCCCCTCTAGTTATTAGCAAAAATTTAACATCAAAAGTGCCTGGTTTTTTTCAGATATCTTGCTAGCCCTGAGGTCTTTCACTGCTTTTTTAAAAAAGCCTTGCATGACATAATATGGAGGTCCTTGGGCATTACTGCTTGTGTAGTTGCTTTTATCATGCATATATTTGGGAAAGATGTATCAATTAAGAATAAAACAAATGGTTTTGTCAGCATACAGCACTGAGCTGTTTTCATGTTGCTTTTCCAAGTGCTTACTGCAGAATAAATAGTTGATTATTCTCTTCCTTAAATGAGAATTGCTGATTTGCTGCAGAATGAAGTAGTGACCAGTTTCTTTCCTCTCTGTAAAGACAACTCCCTTTACAGTGGTTGACATGACGATAGGGTTACAAAAGAAAAATTAAACAGAGTTAGAGAATGAATTAATAAAGTGGGACCAGGGTGTAGAAATTAAAAGAAAGTTGAAGTGTTGTTTGAATTGCTTGAGAAACTTAGTTTAGACATAACTGGAAAAAGTATGGATGAAAGTGTAACCTGATAAAAACAAAAGGGACAAGGACATTTCTGAAGTTAAATAATACAGTCATGATTGTATTTTAACTTTTTACTGATTTGTGCACGTTGTTCCTAACTGTAGTCTCAAGTTTTACTCAGTAGAAAGTCAGGAATTGGTTCTTTGCTGGGACAAAAAGGTTTATTTCCCTAGAAGGCATCATACACTTACAGAGAAACATTTTAGACTTATTTGCTGAAACACTAAATATAGTTTATAGTGTATTGTGCCAGACCAGTGTTTCGATTTGGCAGTCAAAGTGTCAGCTCTGATTTCACTTTTTTTTTCTCTCCTCTCTTTTGCAGGTTTGTGTGCAGCTTGGTTTACTACGGTCTTACACTTAATGTGGGTGACTTAGGCGGAAGCATTTATGCCAATTTAGCCCTGTCAGGCTTGATAGAAATCCCAGCGTACCCAATCTGTATTTACTTGATTAACCAAAAATGGTAAGTATGGAATTTATTAACCCATTCAGGATTTCCTTATAACTTTTCTCAGAGATAGGTTTTCTGTGTATCACACCTCCTAGCTTGTCGTGTGCGGCTTCCTGCTTCAATGTGAAAGTGCCATTGATTTATGTCTATTTCAAATAGCAATTTAACTTGTTTTCAGTCGCTCACCTCATGGTGAGCCGTCCCTCTGACTTGGGTGGGGTTGATGTAGCGGGGAGGAACCTGTGCTGCCTCCAGGCTGACACTAGATAGCATCCTTCCCACCGCTGCCCCGAGATCCCATCCTGGCTTCTGGGACAGCTATCCCCACTCCACAGGCCATCCTGTGGGCTCAGGACCTGCAATAGCAGTACCTCTGTGAGCTACTGTGAGAGCAGAGCAGATATTCAGCCTTTTCCTGAACCACGATGCTCCGGACAATGTGTCTCATTTTTTTTAGAATTTCCTCCCAGTCTCAGCTCTGTCTCCTGAGGAGGTTTGTAAATGTCACATACAACGGGAAGCAACCCCAAATCCTAGAAATTGTGTCACTGTATAAAGTTGGTGCTCATTTTGTTAAGTATGCGGCAGAAGCTTGTTTAAAAACGGTGTGAGAGGAAGCGTTGGTAGAAGATACAATTTAGAATTCCCAGCTGCAAAGAAAGATTCAGTGTGAATTCAGAGGGTTCATTACTCTGCAACCCACAAACCTAATGCAGAATATAAACCTTTGTTATCTTTGTGTATCAGGTTTGGTCGGAAACGAACGTTGAGTGCATTTCTGTTCCTGGGAGGATTGGCTTGTCTTATTGTCATGTTTCTGCCCAAGAAGAGAGGTAAGTAGTTTTTTGTTTCTGAAGTATATGATAAGAACTGGTAGAAACAACATCCTACAGCATAACAATTTGATGGCTGCTGGAAGATTAGGCTCATACCACATGTGAGTCTCTATTTTTGAAGCCAGAGAAGCCAACTCATTAGAAAAAAAGAATAAGCAGTAGCCTCCCTAAGACCTTAGAGAAAACTTGTTAGTAAGGTTTAGATTTGAATTTTTGCCTTTGGATTCTGCCCTTTACTTCTGTTCACATCAGTTGCTCCTTTCCAGTGTTTTTGACATCATACCAATGAATGATACTTCTTCTGGTATCTCCAATAGCTAGATGATAGGTTAGTGTAAGTAGTACCCATGCAACTTGGATATATCTCTCCGAGTGGAAGATCAGTGTCAGAAGATCTGAAGAACTGAGTGATGGAGCAGGTTTCCATCTCTCCCACACTGCTCTGTAATATTCAAAAGTAGTGTGGTTGTGGTAATGGTAATGTGGCTACACAACTTACAGCTCAGGAGATCATTCTGATAAACTTCTGAATTGGGGGATCTTTAAGAAATGTGAAATTAAACATCTTTTGTGTAAAGATGCACTAATGTTAATTTTCAGATTATGTAGCAATTTTTCTTTTTAAAACCAGATAGATAAATTCACTTTGCTCGTAAGATCTATGGATGTGTATTACCTTTTGTAAAGTAAGAGAATGTCTCAAATGCTTGAAGAGTGATTCAGGAAATTAAACATCTATGACAGAGTGCAGAATTTGCTCTAGATGACAGTAGGTCTAATAGGCAAAGCTTTTTTAAAGGGACACAACTCAAATTTTCAGAATTATTCCAGGTGCTTGAGCATGGACACTTGGAAATATTCTGGTTTGGCTGGTACCAGTCACCATGTATTCTTTTTATGTCATTCCAAACATAAGATGTGAAAAGAGAGGACAGAACTGTGAGACCTCAGGAAATCAACTGTGTACTGAACTGCCCAAGTCAGGCAAGGGTGATGTGCCTGGGGAAGTGAAAGGGCTTACTGGCCAGAAGCAAGCACCTGTCTTCACTGGGCATGAGCTCTGATTTGCCTGTTAAAAGCAAATAGGCACTGGCTGTTCTGACAAACTAAGCTGGATGGGAAATTTAGTGTGATTCCTCACAGCATCTTCCTTTCAAAGTAATAATGTTAGAAGAATATTATCATACTATAGAAATGACAATGAATCAGACTTCTGTTAAAAAAACTTTGCTCACTTTTGAAAAATGTATCTGTTATACTCTTCTTCAACTTTCTGATAGAACTAATTTAGTATTTAATTAATGGTAGACCGAAAATACTGAATTGTAGCTTCAGCTTTTAGATTCTTCTCTAGTTTCCTTTTCACACCATACTATTGTGTGATTGAAATAATTAGAGGTGTATTGGAGTGCTCAAAAGCCTTACAAGGGTCACATTTTCTCTCAGATACTGGAGTGTTTGCAGTGGTGAATAGTCGCTCTCTGTCTTTGCTGGGAAAACTGACAATCAGTGCTGCATTTAATATTGTCTACATCTACACATCAGAACTTTATCCCACAGTCATAAGGTAACACAATTTTAAGTCTTCATTTTTTTCATTCTCTTACATTATCATCTTTTATTTTTCTTATTTTTTTTTCTATTAACTATAGTTTTTAATTTGATTTTTTCAGTTACATATAATGGTTAGATGTAGTTACACATTTGAAATTTTTCCCTTATCATCTTCTCATTCCCTCTTCCATCAAGTTTGCAGTGTTCTCTTCAGACTAACCATATTTTTATGTGACAGTTAAATAGACCTTCAGCTGCTTGGCCTGCTTACAACTCCCCTTCTACTAATGAGGATAACTATAGCACTGCAGATACTTCTCTTAATGAGTGCTTTATAAAACCAGACAACTGTATCATCATATGTGCTTAACCAGGAATATTGAAGATGACTGGTCAATAAACTTTCTAGAAGTAACTTGATGCTTCACAGGCTGTGTGTGGGCAATGGTAGAGGCAGAAGCACCCCCTGCTTGTGCTGACAGAGATGACAGAAGCTTCTGCCATATGGGTGCATGTGATGGTCAGCCACCAGTGAAACTATACTGTGGTGTTTTTCATGAGTGGGTAAATCTGATGATAAGTAGGATTTGAATAAATTAATTCGGCCAGAGTTTCAAACACAGGCAAGATGCATGAACTAAAATCACACTTGTTTTGCCTATTTTGTATGTAAAAATTCTGAATGTAAAGGGGATTTTTGCTTGATTTTAATAGTAAAAAACATGTTTCATTCCTGTCTTGGGATGCTCTCGGTTACATTTGACTTTTCTTTGCCAGTTAATGTGCTCAGGGTCATGACTGATGAGTCTTTTTCCTTGCTCAAGTAACACTTTTCAAAAGATTAATAATTTTTGTTTTTTTTCATAGGAATGTTGGAATGGGTGCCTGCTCCATGTTTTCCCGTGTTGGTGGAATCATTGCACCTTTTGTCCCTTCATTGGTTTGTCTGAACTTCTCTTATGTATATTTTTGTTTGTGGCTCTGGTGTATCAGAGGCTTACAGAGATGGGAATATTTGGGATAAATTTCATTTGTAAATTAAGATACATAAATTGCCTATCTTAACAGTATCATGGTAGGCCAAAAGCATTACAGTATCTTCTGTGTGATTAGACAAAACCTCAGCATTATTTAATTTAGAAGGTATTTTAGCTCTGTACGAATTTAGGACCTTAAAATACAATAATTTCAAATCACCAAGATGGTGATACCAAATTTTAAACCCTGCACAACCTGAAGACCCACGTGGTTAAAAGAACTACTGCATCAAAATTAGGCATATGGGCTCAATAACTCATATTTTTGAGAAAAAGTTTGTTTTAATGTCAGTGCACTTCATTAAATATCCATGGGTTATAAGTATCAGCAAAGCAGTTTGTCTTTCAGTAAATGAAGGTGATGTGGAGATCTGATACACCCTCAAGGCAAAGAAAGATTCTGAAGAACAAAACAGGGGGATGACACCATTACTTTCCTGTGCTTAAAGTGTTACATGTATGCAGGTAAAAAGTGTGCCAGTTTTTCCCAGCTGTTTGCTGAGGCCCAGTGACAATTCCTTTAATGTGACAGATTTAATCTCCTGTAATTTTCCTCTCTGCCATTTGCCATGTTACGTGTGAGGCAGAAGGTTAGGAAAAGGGCAGGTGAGCACAGGGAACCTTTTAATTTGCAGAAGGAAACACTGGGCAGGTGAGAGCGTGAGCACCTCTGGGGAGCAATAGGCAAAGCCAAGACTGCTGCCGATCTACCAGGTGGATTTAATAGGCAGCTTTTATGTAGCAGTTGGGGCATTTATTATATTGTGTCTCCCAGAGATTTGATACTGCATGAGACACAAATCTTAGATCATAATGTTTGAAGGGGCTCCATAAAAATGAAAGTAGTTCTGGTTACATAATAAATGAACCCTCATTTGAGAAAATAATAATTTTTGTGCTTCATAATTTCTTCCCATATTTTAAAGAATTTTCAGTGTCTGGAGATCTCATAATAGTAAAAATAGGAGAAGTTAACAGCTGAGATAAAAGATGAAATGTCGGTCTTTTATTTCATCATGGCCTGTTATTTTTCTCAATTTAGAATTGCTCTCTACAATGTGAGTTTTTGAAACAAACGGCTAAACTCTTTCCCTGTTTTAAAATAAGCCTTCTTTACTGTGAGAGCATTGACAGGCATCAGGAGTATAAACTTTGCTTATAAACTTTGCTTAGGCTGTCACAGGTGATGACAGGAATACCAAAGCTCAGCTGAAGTTAAAACTAGCAAGGAGCATAAATAGGGATTCTATCAGCTAGAAGAAATAAGCCTGTTGATGAACGGGAGGGGCTCCCATTGGTAGGTGACATAGATGAGCTGAAATACTTGTGCTTCAGTCTGGAGAGACAAAGTTTCTCTCCAATACTCTGCCTATCAGCACAGCTGAGGAAGCAGAAGGCCAGCAAACAGTAGGAGGAGCAATAGGTTCAAGAACACTTAGAGCTGAAAGCTTTGCATTCCATGGGGTAAGAGTCCATGAGAATGGTTGTGATAGTGGGAAAAGTGTTCATCATCTGTAATAAACCACTATTGCAGTGAAGGATTGCTGGTAGCTGTGGGAGGGAAAAAGCTAATCCTGTGTGTCTCTTCAATATCAGAAGTGGAAAGTATTACAGGCTGAGCACCTCTTAGTCTGTGGAAGGATTGAGACATGACCTCCCAGAATCTGTTTATAAGCATGTGAAGGCAAGGAAGGTAATCAGGATCAGTGAACATGGATTTATTAAGGACAATTCCTTTTCAGCCAGCTTGATTTAATAGTCAGCCATTTCATCATGGATGAGCAAAGGGAGGAGAGCAGAGAAAGATTTTGACACTATCCCATGTTGTTGGCATATGTTTGTCACAAGTTTTGGCTTGGGGGTTAGATAAGAAATTTGGAAAATAATGTTATTGAGAAGCTTAATGCAACCTGAAACAATCTACTTGGAGGGGAAATCTTCATCCTTGGAGTTTTTTTGCTATTTGATTTTGTGAAGCAGTGATTGACCTTATCTAATTGATGCTGTAGTTGTGCTTAGAGTAGGTGGTTGGCCAAGATGACCTCAAGAGATCTCCAGTCAGCACTTCTGTGTTTCTGGGGTATCCATTCCCTTCTACAAAAGAACGTTGCATTTGTTAAAAAGTAGGTATGTTAGAGGCAAGAACTGAGTTCAAATTCAGCAGGCATTTCTTTTAAAGTTCATGACAAAAATCTGTGGGGTTCTAGTAGTATTAACAAGATACAATTGACAATACTAGTAAGAAACCCAAACAAACAAAAAAACCCACTACAGATGGATTGGTGAATTTGTACTAAATATGAACACAAACACTGCCAGAGGGAATGGTTGTAAAGGCTAGGTCCTTTAATAATGCAACATGAACTACAAGGAACCAATCTCAACCTAACTTTGTTATTTTTTCCAGAAATCTGTACAGTGGTCTCTGCCTTACATTGTGTTTGGAGCAACTGGTCTGTTGTCTGGGCTCTTAAGTTTACTGCTGCCAGAGACCTTAAACAGCCCCTTGCTAGAAACTATTTCAGACCTGCAGGTGTGCTCCTACTGGAGGCTGGGTGATGAAGCCATGTCACTGCAAGCCCTAGATGGCTCACAGGTATACTGATTTTTTTCTAGTACTTTTCTGTTGTGTTTATTTTAGCTGTCAACTTGAATTTGTCACTCTAAATAGATTAGGATAATGATCTTTGGCCTGTGGAGGATAGGCCCCAAGGAGAAGAAAGTGTAGCAACCCTACCATCATGTCTGAAATGTTTTCTGGAGATGCAGGCTGAAATATAGCAGGATTAATTCATCCCTTCAAGGCCACAAGCTTACAACATTTTCCTTTGGGATAAAGTGATGTCTGTGCATCTCTGATCTCTAAGACTGATGGCTACAATGTGCTTCAGCCAAAGCTGGTCACTGGAGCTTGAGAAGCCTGAGATGTTAACAAAACCAGAAGCCTGTTTGTAAAGGGCTGCTCTCAAAGGTAGCACACTACTTCTGACTTGCCCAGTCTGTTCTAGATAGGCTCTGAATGGGTTAAAACCAGACTAACCTCTGAGATCTCTCCCACTATTGACTCTGGGAAATGAGATTCATTGAAAACATTGGAACTACAGAACTCCCAGGTATAAGCATAAATAAATGTGGCAGCACGATGTTTTTCAATGAGGTTTCCTTTAATTGTGTTTTTCAGATCACTTTATTTTGTTAAACTACTGGGCACCTCTCTGGGTGTCTGTATCTTTCACTCATGTGGAGGTTTTTTGACATGGTTAATTCTCTGTGAATGAAGTGAGATTAGAAAGAAGCTAGAGAGCTGGGAGTGGGTGTTTGAATCTGGGTAAAGTTTTAAATTTTAAATCCTGGTCGCAAAACTTTAAGTATGGAGGGATTTACAGAAATAGAATAAGTGATCAGAAGACATGAAGGGAAACTCGTAACAATGTTAGCTGCCCCATTAGGCTGAGATGAGACAGGAGCCTTTTAACACCTTTACCTTCATTTGAATAATTGTTGGTCAACCATTCTGACATTCACAGGTAGTCATATTTATTTTCACAGAAATCAAGTACTTCTAGAACAGGAATATTTGCTTCCTATCAGAAGCTTCAATAGATTGCCTTGTTTACCAAGTTTAGTTGTAATAGTTCTTGATAGGACAACACAGTTTAGTGACAAAAGCCTTGAAGAAAGGCTGAAAAAGGCAGCCCTGTAACTGTTAATTTTATACTTTAGGTGCTTTACATGATTATTTTATAAACATTTTCAACTATAATGGATAATGTGTTGTGGCACCACATTCTTGCTGACTACACAAATCCATCATATACGTTTACATCAGCTGTTATTTTGGTAATTACATGATTATTAGGACTTAATTGTGCAGATGGTTTACCAACGAAAGCAATTTTTGTAAGCAGTGCAGGTGTTCCAGCTTACAGGTGGGAAGTCACATTTTTATTTTCTTCTTTAACCAACTACAGTCAGTATTACCCTTAGAGGTAATTTGTTAGTATTCCCACAAATTGGTTAGCTTATGTCCTCTCAGGTTTAAATCTTTGCTTGTCCACCTGTAGGCTTAAAAATCCCATCCTAAAAAGGACCCACAAAGGGGGGGGTGTTGTTCCAAATGGTTTTCAGGAACATTTTGCCCAGATAAATGAAAATTACTGAATCTGAATGGAAAAGTCATTGTTTCAGGCCTTAACTAATCCTGTAACTTCAGTGAAGTTATATCTGGAACGCATTAGGGATTTATTTTAAAGCTCACAAAGAAAGTGCTGATAAAATGGAAAGCTGTTATACATTAACCCTATTTGACAAGGCCATGAGAGGTCTCATGAAACTATTGTGAGAAAGATTTAGAATTTATTTGGCATACCCTGAATTCCCCCTGTGGAATCCATTGTCATTTTGTACCATTTTCAAGATAACATGTGTTCTGATTGCCCAGAACGGAGGTTTTGTTCCTGTTAACATACATGAATGTGATATTCAAGTTGGACAGCATCCAGTGATAGCCTGACTTTCCTCAAATAGTTTTAGAAGTCTAGGGAAAAAAAAAAAGCCTAACATGATTCCCTTTACATCTTCTGACAGGTCGTAGTGCTCAAACTGCTTGAAATTCCTTTGCAGTTAACACACATTGCTGTAGCAAAGCTCCTCTGAAGAGATATCTAAAGCTACAGATTTTGCTTGCATGGTACTGTCAGTCAGGAGCACTATTTCCACTTCTCTATTTTTCATCCTCACACTTTTCTTAGCATATGACTAGGCAGGCAGAGGTCTTAGGATGGATGCAAGCATATTGGGAAAAAATCCTAAATAATCAAATTAGATGGAGTTTATACTATCAGGAGAACCTTTTTGACTGGAATCATTTGTGTCAGTTCCATGGAAAAATGCTACACTGGCCAAATAAAAATCAACTAGCTGTAATAGCTGACTTTATTTTGGGTATGTGTATAAATTATGTGTGAAAAGGATTATGACTGGAGTAGGTATGCCTACAATAGGGATTTTACCTTCTGAACATACAGCATGGTAATGATTTTCCCTTTTCCATAACACTTTCATTTAGTATTGCAGGGGGATCTTTTTAATTCAACTTGCACAGTAAAATGCTTGTGCTACCCAAGGAAAAGTATTAACTGTGGATGGAGAAGCTTTACCTAGCAAGTAATATGTGTGTTCTGAACTACTGTGTTTCCAGTAGCTCTCCACAGAGTAGGAATTAGACTAAATTTAAGAAAGTTTAGTAGATTACCACTTCAGAACCACTCTAGCTAGTCTCTCCTGCATATATTCTCTAGGGTACTGGTGGAGCAGAGAAACTCCATCCACTACAACCTCATGTCTTTTAAAGATACTTGGAGGAATCAAGGATTTTAGCGTGAATTCACATGTCTTCTACAAAGTTTTAATACAGTGGTTTGACCTGTGTTTTCTTACCTTTTCTATACCAGCATTCCATAGAAGTGTAATGGTTCATGCTCTATATGTTGAGATTTAGTGGCTTCAGTCTAACTAACTACTTCCTTTTCACTTCTAGTCTGGAGACAAAGACAGCTCTACAGGGAGTGGAAGTGAAGATGAGGAGTTCTATGATGCTGATGAAGAGACTCACATGATCAAGTAATGAAAAGAAGAAACACTGGCCTATTTGATGCCTCTTCTTGCCCAGTCAGTCCAGCTGTATGACAAGTACTGGGGACCTTGCTTGCCAGGCAATGTAATTGGGCAAGTGCCTGCGTTTTTCCCTACTTGGAAGAGGAATTTGTGTACTGTTCAGACTGATGACACCACTGATGCTCTCCATACAAGGCAGCCATTCCAATTTTTGTGGTTCAGAATGACAGTGCATGGACTGCATTTGAAGCCAGGTGAGACTGCAGGAGTGGGATGATGTATTTCAGAAGCCTAGGAAATAACCTAGGCTTAGACAGATTTGGACAGATCATCAGTGCATGTGTTAGTATTTTATTTTCAAGGTGGTGGATTTTATTTCTATACAAATTAGTAAACTTTGAAACAACCACTGTATTTTTCCACAAGGGGGAAAGTGGTTGGAGAATGTGCTGTGTGCTACTCCAGTGGGAAAAAATTGCTGAAATTGTATGTTAAAATGGCTTTTGCATAGTCAGTAGAGGAGAGGCAGCTGTGAACAAAAGGTTTCTCTGTGTGCACACCTGTGCAGAGTTACAGGTGCAGCTGTTTAGTCATGAGCTGGGCTTTACCTTAGTGATAATGGAAGGCTGGGAGGAAGGACTACACAAAAGAGCAGCCACAAAGCCTTCGAACATAAGGAACGTTACTGACTTTTTTTCCTTCTTTTCATACACAAAGCTTTGTCTTGGTCTGTCTTGTGCATATGTTTGCCACATGTTCCCCACATCGCAGCATGGCTGTTTATAGCTTTGCCTACTTTTACCTTGTCCTTACTTTGCCATAACTATTGAAGCTCAGCAACTTCTCTGTGGAGTGAAATAATTCTGTGATGGATATCATTTCCTGGGTGCGACAGAGGTGAGGTATTTCTCACATACTGTGTGTGTGGTGTGATAGAATGTATAGCTTGCTTTTGTGGACCTATTTGGGTCTTTGTTTCTGGAAAAGGCTTAACTCTGAAGTGGTAAGAGGAACTGTGTCGTGCTGTTATATTTTGGGTGCTATTTTCAGGAAGTTGCTAGTGTTTGTTTTAAAATCTTGTGTGTAGCTAAGATTTTCATTTAAAAAGTCTGCAAATCTCTTTGGACCTTTTTGGTTACTTGATGTTTTTTAACCAATGCTTGCTCAAGCAGTTGGTTACTTGACCTTGTTAAGGAAAACAACTTAACTTCCCTGTTTCACTGAACTTCCTGTAAGTGCTTCGTTAGAGGGATATGGAATCCTGAAGTATGAAACATGAACATGTGGAACATTCCAGTTACAAAAATGAGGCCTTACAAAGATTCAGTTTTCTTGACGTTGTCATCTTCATCCTCTGACCTGTGGCTTTCTCTATTAAGATTGGTTTCCATACAACATTAGTCTTCCTACTTGGAGTTCCTAGCAAAGTGGCACACAATGGCAATAAATATATTTTCAGGCTCATGAGTAATTTTTGCAGATCTTAGAATTAAAAAAGGTGTGTCTAAAAATATCAAAATGTCTGCCGAATATTTCCTCGTTCAAGTGGGAAGTTCCTTTACTCTGCAAGGAAGTGAAAGTAAGCAGCATCTGAAGTTTGCAGCTAGCTGCTTGAACTTTGTTCACTGGGAACTGTAATACAGAGAGCAAAGTGCAGCTGCCCCGATTGGTGCAGAGAGCAGCCCAGAGTCTGCAGTTTCACACATGCAGCATTCCAGTTGGGTCTGAACTTGATCCAGGTGTTGACTCTGAGCCAAGCTGGAAACTTCAGTCCCTATGAACAGTCTATCAATATTGTTGTGATTTTTGCCTGTGTTATGAGTGTCGCTGGAAGAATTCTCGCTCATGATCTTCACTTTCCCCCCCACCCCCGACTGTTGAGTAGTTGTTGTAGATGTGGCACTTTTTAACACAGCTGGATAGTCTTTCTGCCTTATTTGACCCTTTTGTGTATAAGAAAATTGCACCAAATAAGGTACTTTGAAAAGTTGAAGCTATTCAAATATTTTAAATTTTTTTCTGGTACTTTAATTTATGGACAGCTGTGAAAATTACTTTTTATTGCTGATGGCAGACAGCTGTAAGCCTGGCAGTAATAACACATTGCCAAGAACCAACAGTAGTTTTAGGTGTCTGTTGCCTCTGTCCCTCTTTGGATGTTGGGTGTAAGTCAGGAATAAGTCAGGAACTTAATAATAAGTCAGGAACTAAATAATAAGTCAGGAACTGTCATTACCCGTTTCTGGCAACCTTGTGTAATGGCACAAGACCGTCATTCATTAACAGTAGGATTCTCTAATAGTTCAGGTGGAAAAGATTGCTCTTTGCAGGATGTGAGCTAGATTTTGTGAGTCTTCAACTAAAGTCTTCTTGTTAGTCTTTAACTAAAAGTTAAATTTACCTCTGCACTCATGCACTTCTGTATCATTGGTATACATATGTAAAATTGCAAAAACAAGAGTGAAGACAAAACTAGCAATTTTTTTGCACAGGAATTTTTGCTCTTTTTTTAACCTTAAATCTGTCCCATGTTTTCACCTTTAAAATTTTAAAGGGACTATTTTAAAAGGAATTTTAAATCTTCCGTTGTTGCTTTCCCATATCAGTTAATTCAGAAAGTGTAGAGGAGAGAATCCCTACAGGAGGAGCTCAGCAGTGTAGCGTCAGACTTTGTTCTCCAGCTTTCTGTTCTGAAGTTCAAATTCATTAGGTGCATTAAGTTTCTCCTCTGAGGCTGTTCATTTTCAGTATGAGTTTGCCTTTGATACTGTTCTTCTTACCCATGATATGTAATGCTTTACAATATTGAGATAGTTGTACCTCAGTGTCTGGGTAGTAAGTTTGCCATGAGGAGCTACTGGAAAGCAGAACACTGGGTACATGAGCTTACTGCATATTGTAGTGCTAGGAGTCTGAGACCAAGGTTCTTGCTACAGTTTAGTGCAGTATAATAATCTTTTGCCATGTTTTTTGCTAGAGTAGCCAATACTGTTAGCTATTTTCATGTTGCATAGGTACTAAGATACTACGTTTCCCAAGATGAAATTTTTTCTCTGGATTCCTTTGGCTGTGATTTTTTCTTTTTTTTTTTTTTTT